CTTTGAAAGAAGGGATTAGGATTGATCGAGATCTTCTTACGCTTGGAGTACCACGTCCTAGTCGACCAACGTCGGTCCGATTCCTGGGAGATCAGCGCCCTAGGGACGGGCGACGTTCGGGTTCACTTTGGCGTTTAACCATGCGTACCTATGCTACAACGAACGAGCAAACGCCCTTGGGCGACCTACCTCTGCAATTGGGCCGGTAGCTCGGTAGGGATACACCCCTAAGGGTGGTGACAGCCCCTTAGGGAAGGTAAGTTGTGCCCCGCGAGAACCTGTCCTGTCGTAGGGGACCGCGGGATGTACAGCTGGCGCACTCAGCCGGAGCGGCAACGGTTCGGCGCGGGTTACCGTGTTGTCCCCGAGTTGTCTCTTAAAGGTTGAAAGTCTAAGCTTCTCCTGCGTGACGCGGCCGGGAGGGCCCTCGCTCGCTCGGGGGCCGATGCGCTCGACAGGTGGCGCCGTTGCCGGGGATGACGGCAAACTACCGTTGTCCCTGGTGAAACGACACTCGGGAACGGAGCAAGTGAAAGATTATGCCGTGGTGGTTGTCTAGGAAAAAAGGTTAGTAATCTCTGAGCCTCTATAAATGTAAGGAAGGAACCTTAAGAGATGTCACCAAAACTCCTAGACTGATTTCTTGGGTTTATGTTTTGGTTTCTAGATGGATGGGGGTGCAGGACATCGCGACAATGACGACGATGGGAGGAACGACTTTCAAGAACTGGCACGGGTTATCTGGCAGTCGCAGCGAGAACCCTACCCCAAGATTGATATCCCGTTGTTCGATGGGAATCATGCCTCTTCTTGGGCAGATAAGTTTGAGCAACTGGGGTATAGCAACGAATGGACGGATGAGAAGATGCTTCGCATGGTTAAGAGGTACTGTCAGGTGGAGTACCGAGATGAGATCGATGAGCTGGTGCGAATCTCCCGTAATTGGCCAGATTTTAAGGCGCGGTTGCTGGAGAAGTACCAACTCAGCGATCGGTTACTGGACCTGCGAGATTTTAGGGCGGTGGATCATAAGAAGTTTGGTACTACCAAACAATTCTTATCGGAGTTTGAGAGTGTGGCTCGCCTAATCCCGGATTTATCCGATAAAGATCGATGCCTCATCTTCCTTGAGAACTTCAACGACGTCGAACAGTCGAAGTTGGTTGAAGGAATGCAAGGGAGGTATGATTGGACTAAGGTCCGACAAAATGCGCGGGTGGGGAAATTCGACGATATCCTCTACCGGCTGTTGAGGCAACAAAAGGAGGAGCGGAAAAAGGTGAAGCTGGGAGAAGTAAAGGACGGTGAAATTTACAAAACTTTGACCTGCATGAGAGAAATAATGGAGGGCATGAAGGAGGAAAGGCTGAAGTTTCAAGTCATGTTGGCCAAAGAGAAAAATAGTAAGAGGAAGGGGAAAGAGTCGATGGTAGAAGAAAGTGACAGTGAGAGCGAGGAGGAAAAGGAGCCGCCTCGTAAGTTGATAAAGGCGGAGAGGAAGGTCTTAAATCAAATTCGAGGTGGACAGGGGACCTCCCGTAAGCAGGGGAAGAATGACGGACAAAATAATCAAGGAGGGAATGGTGGTGCAGGCGGTGGTTCGTCAGGACAAAATTCGCAGGATCAAGGGCAGTTCCAACCACAGGGTGGAAGAGGCCGCGATCGAGGCCGTGAGAACGGACAGCGAAGCCGTTGGGTGTGGCAGCAGGAAGCCACATGTAATTATTGCGCAGAAAAGGGTCATATCATGCAGTTCTGCCAACTCCTTTCAAGAGATGAGAAAGAAGGGATTGTTTTCACCACGATATGCGGTGAAGTCTTTGATTACGAAGGGAACCTGATCGACCCCAACATTGAAGGGGGTATGAGGAAGGAGGCGTTTCGCCGAATGGGTCGTCCGCTGCCGGCGACGTTCCGAGTTGCTTCACCCGAAGAAGCGCGATTGGCCGAGGTCGAGGAGGCCATGGCGTCGTTACATATTGGCAACTTGCCGGCGGAACCACAAGGGTTTAGGAAGCAAGTGGTGGAAAGAGCGCGAACCATCACTAGGCGGCTTGCCCAATGCCGGGACTCTATCATCCGACTTTGCGTGGACATGGAGGAAGTCTGGCCTGAACTGCCGAATGTCTTTCTCTTCGGCGAATGGGGTGATAAAAGGGAAGATGCGTCTGGCCAAGCTGGGACGTCTGCTCCAAGAGAAGCATCGCAAACTGGGCCAATAGTAAGCACGATGCGACCCAGGCCTGTGCTAAAGAGGAGTGCTCCGACTGTAGCCATTCAGACTCGGATGCGGCGACGAAATGAGCAGCTTCAAAAGGAAAGAGAGCCTGAAAAGGTGGTGGAAGAAGAGCCCATCCCCGTTAGTGAGAATGATGAGGATAACGAGGATGAGAAGTTGCGGGCCGAAGAGGAAGAACGGGCTCGTCGATATGCGATGGAAAGGGAGCCGGAGAAAGGGAAGGACGAAGCAAGCGAGGAAGAGCCGCAAAAGAAGAAGAATATTTATTCGATCCCCGTGGAGCAGGGGGTCGATATCGAGCGACTCGTCGATAAGATTCTGGAAAGTCAGCGCGACTTGGTCACGCTGAAGGAAATTTTGGCGGTATCGCCGAAGATTCGGGAAGAGTTTAAACAGCGGATGACTCGCAAGAGAGTCATGATTGTTAATCTCGGCGAAGTCATTCCGCCGGAGGCTAACTGGTCCCCGCCTGGGACAAAGATGGATTGGCGAAGTGTGTCGACCAGCCATATTAACGTCCAGATTGGACAGCAGGAGTACTCGACACTTGTGGATGATGAAGCCGAGATGAACATCATTCGTGAGCGCCATGCCATCGAAGCTGGGTTGAAGATCAACCGAGATGACTATGGGTTTTTTGTGGGAGCTAGTGGATCAATTCCATTTTGCGGAACATCCAGTGGCGTTCTCGTCACGGTCGGAAAGGTCAAGGTCCGTTCGTATTTCTACGTGTTACCTAGAGTGGAACACGAGGTGCTTCTGGGAAGGGCATTCCTATGTCGATCGGAGAGCATTATCATTAACAAGCATGATGGAACCATGTTTGTAATCCTTTGTGATCTTGTCTACGGTTATTACGAAGTGGTCAAGTGTGCGAACACTGGACACTATTGCTCGCGGAACCGGTTGAACCCGGAATCTTATACCTTCTCGGAGTCAGAAAAGTTGAGGAGGGAGAAGAAATCGTTAGGGGAGGAGCCGAATGCTCGTGAGTTCTCACTGACCCTGCCTGATATTTGGCAGTCAATCGATTTCGTGTCAGCACATGCGGCGATTGATCCGAATGTGGTGCAGGCATTGACGGAGATCATCACGGACACCGGAAGCGCAGAAACTATGCGCCTTGTTTACTCCCCGTCGGAGGGGAATAAGGGAGAAGATCAGGAGTTGCCCTCCACTCGACAGGGTCCTTTTTTAGAGGACGCAGGCTTGACACCGGCGCCAAACGTAAGTACAAGAAAGTAGGTGTGAAGGCGAAGCCGGTACTTGTCCTGATCACTCAAGAGGAGGAAGTCTATTATCGTGAGGAGCGGGAGTGGATCAGAGGAATGAAAGAGAGAGGTAAAAAAAGGCTATGTCGGTTAACCAAAGAAAGAGTGGAAAGTATGATTATTGGGAAGGAGGACCTCCTCACTGAGCAGGAAAAAGGGTATATCATCGATATATTGAGGGAGGAACATCTCTCCTATGCGTTCGATGATGATGAGCGAGGAAGGCTGGATGTCGATAAAATCCCGATGATCAGAGTTCATACTGTACCACACGAGCCATGGAATGTAAGAGGGTCACGGTATCCGAATCCAGAGGATCACCGTAAAGTGGTCGCGTATCTCGATGGAAAGATCCGGACAAAGGTTGCAGATTATTCTTATGGGCCGTATGCATCTCCATGGTTCTGTTTCATTAAACCGAATGGTACTCTGCGCTGGATTCAGGACCTTCAGAAGCTGAATTCCGTGACAGTGCGAGATGCAGGTGGGCTCCCACATGCAGACCTACTGTCGGAGTCTTGTGCAGGGAGGGTTATCATCACCCTGATCGATTTATATTCCGGGTATGATCAATTCCCCATTTACACTGCGGATCGGCCCAATATGGCAATGCACACTCCTCGCGGGTTGATCCATATGTGTGTGGCGCCGCAGGGGTGGACGAATGCAGTTGCCATTGTTCAGAGATATATGACGAGGGTTATGCAGCCTTATTTTCCTGACATAACTTCGCCGTATATTGACGACTTGGCTGTTCCAGGACCTCGAACGAAAGACCTGGCGGAGGTGTCGCCGGGCATTCGCCGCTTTGTTTGGGAACATATCAATGATGTGGTAAAAATTCTTAAGAGGTTGAAGGAATTTAATCTCACAGCTAGTGGGGTTAAGTCTCGACATTGTATAAAGAGAGCAGTGATCTTGGGATTCCTTTGCGATGAGAAAGGTCGCCGGCCGGATGCGAAGAAGACTAATAAAATTTTGGAATGGCCGACCCCTTTCAAATCAATTACGGATGTGCGAAGTTTCCTCGGAACCTGTGGATTTTGGCGCATCTTCATCCGCAGGTTTGCCGCCAGAGTGGAGCACTTGCGAAAGCTTGTGCGCAAAGGCCAAAAGTGGGAATGGGGTCCGAAGCAGCAAGCGGCCGTGGAAGACATAAAGACTGAGTTCCGTGAGGGCGGATTGATCCTTGGAGTTCCTTTTTTTGACGATGATGAAAAGCGCCCTTTTGTTATTGAGACTGATGCGGGGCCCACAGCCCTAGGAGGGGTCTTAATTCAGAAGGATGATGAGGGGCAGGAAAGACCTCTCAGATTCGAGAGCAGGACTCTGAATGCTGCTGAGAGGAACTATTCCCAATTCAAGAAGGAAACCTTGGTTGTGCTTCACTGTTTCCGTATCTTTCGGAACTATGTGTTCGGTAGACGCTTCATCCTGCAGGTGGATCCGACTGCATTGGCTCAATCCTTAAGGAATTATTCACCTGTTGATCCCACCATTGCGCGATGGTTGACTTATATTTTGATGTTTGACTTTGAAATCGTGCGGATTTCGGGGAGTCAGAATCGCGCTGATGGGTTGAGTCGGGTTGAATGGGACCCAGAGGCGGATCGGGCAGAAGAATCAGTTCCAGTCGATGCCTTTCTGAAGGAAGAGGATTCACGATTGAGTATTAACACTCTTGCCTACCTGACTGATGCAGCCACTCGGTATGGGAAATTGATATGGAATGCTCCTGCCTTTCACGAGGTACGTTCAGAACTCGTGGTGGAGGAACCTTTCATTGAGAAGGACCCATGGGGTGAGGAGACCGCAGAGGAAATGATGAGGCTGGCTTTGACTGATGACATCGACCTTATGCTTGATCCGCTAACGATTGAACAGGGCAATATGCAGGCTGATGACGTTTTCGAGGCCGTTGGAAGGATGTCATTTATTATGAATTTGTTGGTTCACGAGGATCGTCTGAGGTTAATGAATGCGGAGGAAGGAGGCAGTGAGGTCAAAGAGGCACTCAAGGAAAAGGAGTACGAAGGGGAATATAAGAAGATAGGCATGTGGTTGAATGGGGAATTGAACGAAAGTGAGGTTGATCCGGTCGTGCGAGAGAAAAACAAAGGATTCGTTGTTCATGATGGTCATCTCTTTAAGAAAGTTGCTGATGGTGTCCCAAAGAGGGTAGTATGCGGAACCTCTCGACAGTTGGATTTGATCGCTGCCTTGCATGATGGGGTAGCCGGCGGACACAGATCTGCGCGGGTAACTTTGAACAAGATCCAACGTCTTTATTTTTGGGAAGGGATGAGCAAGATGGTGATTGACTTTTGTAAATCTTGTTTCCCTTGCCAGCAGAGGTCTAACATCCGCTACCTCGAGCCCCTGAATCCACGTTATGTGGCAGAACCAGGTGCGGTGGTGCATTTGAATCTTTTGGTAATGCCACCTGGGATAAACGGATATAGATACATCTTTGATGCACGAGACAATTTGACTGGGTTCGTCGATGGTCGTGTCATTCGCGAACGTACTGGATCAGTCTTGACGGAGTGCATTGAGGAATATTACCTCCGTTACCCATTTGTTCAAGAGATTGTTATGGATAGAGGAGGCGAGTTTCGAGCAAAGGAGGTGCAAACGCTTTTGAAAAGGCTTGGGGTAAGTTTCAGTTATACGACGACAGCGCATCCCCAAGCGAATGCACCCGTGGAACGAGGACATGCCACCATGTTTAACTTTTTGGCTAAATGGTGCAAGGAGGAACCATCAAGATAGCCAATTTATTTGACGGGAGCCTTTTTTGTTGAGAATGTTACCATCAAGCGAACAACCGGGTATGCTCCCGTCACATTATGGTTTGGACGGCATGCGACCTTTCCAATTGAGAGTTTCCTGACCACTTGGCAAAAACAGGATGTGGAAATGAAACTTTCGACGGAAGAGTTATTGGAATTGAGGGCAAGACAGATCATGGTGACTGAAGAACGGATTGAGGATGCGGCTATCTCTACTTCTGAAAGCAGGCAGGCTGACAAGGAAAGATGGGACAAGAGGCCACGTGTGCGAAAAGAGTCGTTGGAAGTGGGGGACATCGTCTTATTGTATGATATGTCGCTAGAAAAACAGTGGTCCAGGAAACTAGACAGTCGGTGGCTAGGACCATATCGGATCACTAGGAAAACAGAACATAGGGCATATGAAATAGAGGAGTTGGATGGATCTCGGAGTAGGAATTGGGTATCAGGTGCACATCTACGGAAGTTTATCCCAAGAGTTTAGTGAAAACTTTTAGAAAGGAAGGGTAGAGGAGGTAACTGGTGGCATCAATTTTGGAAATTCTTCTTGCTTTCGTATTGTGGTTCAGCTGATTCTGACTTTTGTCTTAGGCTAACCAAGAAAGTTGTAAAGTATTAATAAAGGTATTGAGGTTGAAAAGTTATCAATGGGATTGTGACTCCTGTTGTTTTGAAGTAGAATGTTATAAGGGATCTGTGCCTTATTGTCACGGGCGGTTGGTTGTAAGATGATTATGATACAAAAGGACTTTGTGAGATTCTTATCATGATTGAATGTTCATTGCAGGTGGTGAAATGGCTGATGGATACTTATATTGTTGAAGTGTTCATCACATATGAGAAGGACTAAAAAAACCTAGAATTCTTATGGGACTCCGTGTATGTGGTTATGAATGTGAGAATTCGTCAGTGCGAGTCTAAGGGGATGATCTGTACTTGAGTTATATACCTGACTGGATTAGCATGCGTTTATTCGTCAGGCATGTGATTCAATTATTTATCTTACCTTATGACTTGACTTTGTGCTAATTGTCATGCAAAGAGGAATCCTAATGTTGTGAGCCCAGTGGACGGTAGTGAGGCCTGCGCCGGAACTGTGTTCCTGGTCCATAGTGGGATGCTGTCATCTTTCCTTTCGAGGAAGGTGGCTACACTATTGTTGAAAGGGAGGAAGGTGTTGAGACCTTATTAGAATGTTGTTTGCAGGGTAGGCGACTGTGTTTGATCTAGGGGAGGGAGTGGTTACCCTTCTTTATATCTAATATGGTCACCGTACCTCCACAGGCGGGACCTAACCAATCCTGCTTGTGGAAGGTGGGGCAGTTCTACTCCGTTTACGACGGACTAATCAAGATCGAAAACACTAGAATCGGAGGGAAGGTGGTGAGGCTCGAGTGTAAAGCGGGGCTTGACGTCGAGATGCTATCTTGAACGGATTACACCACTCCTCGACGCATTCAAAAGACATGAAGGAGATAAATCGTGCATGACAATTAAGTTGGAGTGAGAATTAGCCGGACTGGACGAGGACTTTTGAAAGGGTGATTTCTCTCTGGGATGGTGTCGACACATGCTGTAGTATAGTGTGAGTACCCTTGTGTTTCGTGGGGAGCCCGGGTTGAACTCCTGGCAGCGAGAGACAGGCTGAGGAGTTAGGAATGCACCCCCATGAACATGAGAGACCCAGGTTAAATTCCTCGCAGTATGTGTCGTATGATGAAAGACCCGTAGGGGGTTAAGCCTGACGAGGCCTAGACAGGGGGTTATAGCCTGAAGAGAGTCCCATCAGGGGGATAAACCTGACCCATCTATGAGAGACAAAAGGAAGCATGAGTGGCCGCCAGCGGGATGATGCTGGGATCATTCTTCTAAAATGTTCTTGTAATTCCTCAGGTTGAGTAGAGCCAACGATGGATTCCAGATTCCGGGGAAAGGCCTGCTAGAGGTTATTTCTGGCCCTATTCCAACTCGTGAGTGAATTAAAGTATTTCCGAAGGAAGGTTCAGAAGGAGAGGCGTGGAAGTGAGCCCCGACTCGAAAGTGAGCCCTGTTTTGTAAGTAATGAAGTCTACACGGAGGATTTCATAATGAATTTCCAGATGATTACAAATTGAAAGAAAAGGTGAGCGACGGAAACGTCATCCTCCAGATATGCATGAGAAAGTTCTGGATTAATTCCACGAATAATGTCTGATAAGATCTTATGGGGTATTTAGTGAGGTTTTACAAGGACATCCCCTTATGATGGTTCATGGTGAGCGACAGGGACGTCGCTTAATGGGGGCGGGGAAGGCTGTCGGGACAAAAATCCCTATGAGGGTTTTTGCCCGAGTTTTTCAAGGTCAGACGCTGTCTGACCTTTTTGTTGGACTGAGAGATCTTTGTCGGACATTGTCCGACTTTTTTCGCTAGATTGAAAAACTTGATGAGATTGACGTTGCCAAATTTATTTTGATCAACCCTATGACTGAGACATCTATTTTTTTTTAGAACCAGACGTCTTTGACGTCTGATCGAAACAGTGGGAGTCGGCGGTGACCTGTCGTCCGCGGTTCCAACAAGGCCGCAGGGGTGCGCAATCAGGGAAAAGACTAAGGGGAAGGGGAGTGGAAACGACTGTGTATGTGGCCGCGACCGTGAGGTAAGTACAGACAGAAAAAAGAAAAAACAAAAGGGGGATAAAGGGAAGAGTTGCGCACCGGGCTGTGAACAGGCTTCTTCACATGGTTGGATTTAGCCAATTTAAGGCCGAATCCGGCCTGAATGACAGACCAGGTGCGGTACCTGAGCCTGGGATTGTTTTTTTCCACCCAGAGATCAAGTTTCAGCCCTTGATCGCGATCTAGGTCAAGGGCTGAGCTCAAATCCGAGTTTGGGCTGAGGCAAAGTGGCTGCCTCAGCCACTTCTCAGGCTATAAGAGCAGCCTCCAGCCCCAGCAGCCAAGCATTCTTGGCATCAGTGTTGGGCTCTCACTGTGAGATTGCTGGCTAGCTGCGGGGAAGTGAGGCGGAGCAGAGCTGCTGGCGGCGGAGGAGGAGGACTGCAGGAGGAAGGGGAAGGTGGCCATAGCTGTGGGATCCAGCCATAGCCGCCGTCACAGCGAGGAGGAAGGGAGGAGGTGCTGGAGGTCTGCAGGAAGGGTGAAAGGTGAAGGAGGAGGCTGCCATAGCCACCACCTTGGTGAACAGTGGAGCCCAGGGGAGGTGCTGTCCTCGCAGTGTGGCCGCGACCCACTAAATGAAGGTGACGAGGGAGCACTTCCAACCCTTTTTGCAGCAACGTCGGCCATAGCTGGACCTGTGTGAGGAAGGTGCTGCCTGCACAGTGCGGCGGCGGCAGACTTTCTGTTGCGGTGCGGGGAAGGTGCTGCCTGCACAGTGCGGCGGCGGCAGACTATTTTTGTTGCGGTACAGGGAAGGTGCTGCCCGTCTGGCATGGTGGCGGCAGGTATTTTTGGCAGCAACGCAG